AAAAGTCGGCAACACAGCCTTCGACGCGGCGTCACCCGGACAGCCCAGATCACCCACATGACTGGCCGCAGAAGCCTACGACTTCATTTAACATGATCACGTGTAGCTTCATTAATAGACCAGAAAGCTGGATCGCTTTTCCAACAAAAACTATCAGTCGAAGTTATGGTTTCATCAATTTTATGTTCTTGCAGTTGTATACAATCGGTAGAAATCCTATTTAATTAAAAAAGAAAAGACTAAATTATTATAATAATGTATTCTAATATTATAAACAAATATTCTAGAAAGATTATAATATAAAGGTTTAACTAATTATAAAAAAAATGCTTAAAACTATTTACATCGGTTGAATCATCGACTCATAATCAATCGCAGTTATATTTTCAATTGCTTGAGGAACCATTTCATTTTTAGCTGTTTGGAACTTTGGAGTCTCATTATTAGATTCAGTGATAACCCTGAATAAATAAAAGAGACAAAATATTATATGTATTATTACATATTATATAAAATAAAGTTTAGTAAAATTTTATGCTAATTTATTTAAATTCTATATTAAGATATAGTTCATTTTAATGAATACAACAACAACAACACGTCAAGAATATTTAATTTCTAATCATTGTACTAAACATTTTTTGCATTTTGAGAATATTTTAGCAACACAACTCTGCATTAAAAATATATTAATGTTAACATATATTTATCACAAGTTATTAGTAGATGGAAAAAATATGCAAGCTGAAAACTAAATATGTTATCTAATCTATATGTTTATACTAATTCAGTAATAGAATTGTCGAGTGAACTGCAGCAGTGATCAGTTTTACATATAGGTTTAAAGAATTAATTTATTTTTTGCCTTATCAATTTCATTTTGACATTTCTCTTCCTTTTCTTTTCGGATTTTTGCATATTGACTTCCGGTGAGCCTTTTTCGATAATCATTCATTTTTAAACTCCAAAATATAATTTTTACTCAGCAGGCTCTTACAATAAATAATACACAACAATTGTAACAAAAGAAAGAAAAGGGTTATTTCCAGATCCGTCTTCTAGAACTAATTCAAGACGTAATAGAAATAGCGCGTATATGAATGAATATCGAAATCCGTCAGCGATTTCTGATTGACTAATTCAAACTACTTACTCTAAGAATGTAGTTCTTTCTGCTCAAACAACCAATCAGAAGTCGTTGGCGAATACTTTCCATGTATTCTGTAACATTGAAAATGTCCCCATTTGAAATTCAAGCATAATTTATAAATAAAAGGTTGAGGGGCGGCTTTAGTCTCATTTAAATCATTTTTAAAATAAAAATAGGATTTATGCTGATATAGTTTTTAGAAAACCTAAATTTGTTTTAGAAAATATCAAGAAAAATTTGCGCCTTTGAAAATTTGCCGCCGTACGCACGTGCCTACTGTGCCTATGCGTAAATCCACCTCTGTCTACCAATAAATCTTGCGTTTCAGTTTAGATACAATCAACCACAAAAAATTAATGTGATATGACAATATAATAAATAAAATTATCTCATTTGAAAACATTTATTATATCCCGTAAAGTATTCCTCCCATCTGCTGTAGTCATAAGAATAGTCATAACTATTTTTTAAATATTAAGATATATCTTATTCTTACAAAAAGTATGTTTTACTTAAATTATTAATTACAATGTTTATTAACAAAAAATCATTTTTTTAAAAAAATTGTTAAAAAAAATCAAGCATTTCATAGGGTCACTATCTAAAAACATCCTTCAAAAAATATTATTTTAATGCAAATTCAAATTTACCGCTAGGAAAGTAGATTTTTTTCTTTTTGGTCGAAATTTGGAGTATTTACAACCATCTAACTGCAGATGTTTGTACAAAACATCTGACAAACCTGAATCGCAACTCAGTCATTGGCGGATTCAGGCGGAATGGAGGCCATAGCCCCCCAGAAGACCTAGTTTTCGTTTACCTTCCTTTATTTGGCAAAATTGATTTGAATATTTATTTATGATCGAATTATGTAATTATTTAACCATAATTCTTGTTGACATAGGCGGCCAAATTAATTCAAATTTTCCGCTACGCTTGGAACTCATTCAGTTTGACCACTCTTTAAGGTATTTAAGAAGGATGATACATTTCAAACTTCACGCGTTCGAGATTATTAATTTGACCCAAGTACCCGCGAACTCTCTCACAAATAGCAAAAAAAAAATCATTTTATATGATACTCTTTGAAATAAACCTTCAAACTGCTTCCAAAAGTGATCGGTAGATCGCACCACCACTTGGCCTGCCGGCGAAAAAGATTTGCAAATTGTAGAAATTTCCCAGAATCCAATTTTTTCCCTCATAAGACCCGACGAGATCGCATTGTTTGAGCATCTGGAGCCGCGAGCAGTTTTGTAGCAATCGTGTAGAGAAGCTTAGTAATACGCGTATTGGGCGCATTGAAAGTTGGTTCGGTACGTTGACAAGCAATTCCCAGCACGTTAAAACAGCTTCCGTGACCTGCGCTTCAAAACGTGTCAAAGAAAGAAAAAAAACAACGTACAGCGCGTGAATAACTTAAGGAGACTATTCTATGTTTATTTTCGTCCAGACAAAGGTAACCATGACACTTTCTTCAATACTTAATGATTCTTACTGCAAGGTGTTAATCTTGTCAATTATGTGACGTCTTCTCAGAATCTACATCATTAGTTTTTCGTCACCAGGGCCCGACAGTGAGTTTTTCTGACGAAAATTCGCAGTTTTTTAGCATAAAAATACTTACTACCGCGTAAGCAATAGCGAGAAAGTAAAACCGCGTGAATGTGTAGTGGACAAGTCAGCCTCATCTTGAGTCTCCCAATATCTTAGCAGGAAGTATTATAAGATCCTCAGTGCCAATCATCACAGGGGCTGGAGTATCTTTTACATTATTATCAACGTAGCACATCTCCATTTCAACCTCCATAATCCAAATGGACTTATTCGAGGGAGATTACAATCCAAGAAAACGTGTCCTGCTACGCTGAAGTTCGACAACTAATATGGCAGCGCGCGATTCCTAAAAATGAATATGTAGTCAGATACTGAAGCCACGCTCCTGCTCTCACGTTTAGTTTCTCCAAGGTTCGAGAAGAGTGACTGTTTGAAAATGTTGGTATCGTATTTTGAACTTTCATTCATTTGCGCGGAGCCCCTGAAAGTGCGGTGCCCGTGGCACCCGTTTTAAATCACTTCTAAATATAGCTGGGCCGAAAGCACATTCCAATCTAACCCTACCTACAGCGCAACCCACACGCTACTCTCGCAACTCCTACGCACAATTTCAGAATTATCATTTACTCTCCAGCGTTAAAAAAGAACTAGAATTAATAAAATGACCTTCCAATACAGCAGTGGCGTAACAAAGGTGATTTGGATCGATATAATACGGGGCCTCCTAATTAAATGTCATTAATTTAATTTTGTGATTATAAACTGAATTTTTGAATGAAAACATTCAATGTAATTAACTATTAGAGAAAATAAATTATAATATTTGTAATTTCATTATATAATTTAAAATTTAAATTTTGGTCTTCTCTTCGCATTTACAAACTTATCAATGACAGAAATATTATTTTTCAACCAGATCGTTTATTTCACGATTGATAAAATACATAAATTACTCAAACAATTCAGACAGTCTTGTATTACGTTCACATTACATTTGCAGACAGAGCGCTGCGATCTATATACGTGAAGTCACCGCCGACTGAATGAGAATTGCACGTCTACTGATGTACCTGATCTGATTGGTACCAATAATATATCACTGTTTATATTTCAAATTTTCAGGTTCGGTACTGCTATTAAAAATTATCACTGTAAATAATGCTATTTTCTGGCAGAAATCCGCAGCCCAGCGGCGGCGGTAGTTCCAGCTGTATGGTCAGGTTCTCTTTAGCCGCTACATAATGTTCGAACCTAATAAGGAAACCTGGGGGAGTTATAGCACCATAACCTGACGCTATACCTAATTTGCCAACGAGCGTCTTTCGAAAAGAACCACTATCAAAATTTATTAAAATCCTCCGAATCTCCACAGGCTGGCGAAGTACGCCCGTTCCCTAAGTTACAAGTGTCCTCCAAATCACTGCCTGCGTCATCTTCATCGCTCACAACTGCATCGGCGGCAGGTTGCAAAACCAACTCGAGCTCGCTTGACCTATCTACACTTTTAGCCGGCACCTCACCTTCAAAATTAATATTTTAATTAAGGGCTTCAGCATCTGTAGGGATGTTCTCCTTGCTAAAGTGATAAAAGTTTCCTTCATTGGCCACGGTATGAAATTTCATACCTCGAAAATTAAACTTGTACTCTTCAAAGCCACTGAAGCTAATAACGAGTTTTAAAATATTATAAAAGTTTGACTTAGTTATTATAGTATAGTTTTCAACAATAAATACTTTACTTAAAACATGACTATTTTTCCGAAAAAAATCATATCGGTGCGTCACCATGCTCCAAGTAAAAATCACCACGTCCTTGCTCGACCTCCAGAATACAAACTACAAAATGCAAAGACATTATACTTAATTTCAACATACTACACATCCTCTACTAACGAAAAAACTTACAAAAGTGAGTACGTTGAAAAACTCTGAGTTTGCTACTATATTTCTCTCGGGGCGCCGTCGGTATGCAAATTCATACCGGGCCACCTTTGGGTTAAGGCAAAAATCGCTATAATCAATTTTGTGGTTTTGAAATGTTAACTTTTTGTAATTTTCGAAAATACGGAGAGTTTACCGATAATAGGGCAAGCACAATATATTTTATCTTCCTTGATACATAGGAGAAAACTTAACAAAAAAATTTGGAGCCGTTTTTGAGAAAATATATGGTCAAAAAATGTTTAAGTATATATATTTCAGGCAAAATTACACTAAAACTACTATTTTCAAAAATTAAACATAGCCTTATGTCAAGACGCCTTTAAAGAACAGATATCATTGCAGAAAAAATCTTTACCTTCAATATTATAGTTGTAGCAAGACACCCAAAACAAATTGCACTTTTACAATTTTCAAAAATCTAGGATTTTAACAACCATAAGACCTACAGTTAAGCATTTTTTACGCTCTTCAGGGACAAAGTTTAAACAACAGAGGGCCATTTTTGATTTTTGAAATTTTTTTTGAGGATTCATGTGAAGTAGCCTTAAAAATCAAAATATCCAGTTGAAAGTCTCGAATCCCCAGATCAAATGGGGAATATCAATTTTGAAGAAAATCGGCTGAACGGTTTATATATGCCAACACAATATATCAATTACCAGGGCTTGGCAGTAAGAGTTTTTCTGCCAAAATTCACAGTTTTCCGACGCACAACTACAGACCTTTCTCTTCTTACAAAGTATATGTAAGAAAATAAAACACGGCGCTTCGTTTAAATTTACTATGATTTTATTAGACACGGTTGTAGATAAAATACTTATTTAATTTTGAATTTGGGGATCAGCACAGGGCCCCGTGTCAGTCCCTATCGAACTTACGCTGCTGCACTACAGACTATCTTTAATGATCGGTGATCTTAGGCCTATAAAGGATGGGAAGAAATTTAAAATGCAGAAATAACATAGAGAAAAGAAATAGATATATTTACTATCAGTTGTATTCACAATAATGGCTTTTTTTTGCAGGCAGCATTTGCTATAGCTCACCTAATACAGTATTTTGAATACATTTGCCCCCTTTCTACACAGATACAGAAGAAATACATCTGTTACCAAAATGTTTACACAAGGCTTACATATAAATCTATTGACATGACTGCATTTCCAAATACAATAAATATCTAAAAATATATTAATAGATAATAGATTCATTATGATGCATTACACAATCATACAATACCTGACTATAAATATTAGTCATATTGTCAAAGAGCTTGCGCACACACAATCCAAACAAATGGCAAGGCACTGAATAGAAATGATACTCTTGGAAACTTAATATTTAAAGCTTCATATTTTATGGCACTATTTTCTCCAAAGAGATCATTTCATAAAATACTTAATTCAATGATCTTACCTATCCAGCGAAGGCACAATTTCCGTAGCAAAGAAAAATGCATAATTGATGCCTGTGTTAGTCACACACTTTAAGTATACACACAACTGTATCCACTATGAGACAACAATCAAACTCTTCTATATAGAATCCCAAGACAAAAGAAAGCTGTATAACACTGGCAGTACTTAAGTAGGAAACAAAATATTAAAATACTGATTTATTTGAGACAATTATATAAATATTGAATATAAAAAAATAGCATGTGATGTTTAAATGCATGTCATATTTGTCAAGTTGAATTTACCAAACAAAATTGAAGATCCTACAATAAACAATGGATATTTTGCTTAATTACCCAAAGGATATTTACAGTTCCTTCATTGCTCATGAAACATTTTACACACTCATTTTAATGATCCAACACCATTATAACAGTACATGGAAGCATTAGCTGTGCCTTAGACATAAATGACATGAACTGTTTTATCAAGAGGATAACAGCTTATAACTCAATTTTAGTATTCATACCTTATATGCTCATATACATCATTAATCAACAATCAAAACCGAGAAAACTGTAGTAAGGACGATTAAATGACCCCTTATCACACCACTCCATTCAAAAAAGGCACATAAATTGAAACAGAACAAAAGAAGACCCAGGCATCTTAAAAGCAGTATTCCAAATTGAATAACTATTTTGCACTCAATTTTGTTAATGATAGTTTGATCTGATTGTCATATGCAAGCAAATAAGGTATTCTTTGAAAATGAACAGGTTTTTCAACATTTTAATTCAGACTTGAAACATGGTGTGGCAAGCATTTTAAATAAATCTTATCTCTTAATTACAATAAAATTTAAAGTCACTGCAAAAGATATCCTTTGGGTGCTGAATACAATACAGTAAATTCCAACTGTGTAAGCAGCAAAATTAAACATTGGTAATGGTAATATTGTCAAAACTCTGAAAATTGTATCAACGTAAGAACCATATTTAAAAATAAATTACAAAATAAATCATGCTTAATCAAAGGCAAGAATTTTACAGTAGATTAGACTCATCTGAATCACTAGGAAGACAGCAATACAGGATCAAAGAGTAAATGTCATATTGGGAAATGCAAATTAATCACATTATTGCTAATGTATGGTTCCACAGTGCCCAATAAACAATTACTCTTAATGACTACTCCAAGAGAAGAATATTCACCAAAGCCCATCAATTTAACATTCACACTATGTCATGAAATTTGTAACAGCGTAGGTTAATACATCTTCAGACTTAACACAATGTACATACAATTCACAACTTCTAAAGCGTAACAGTATACAACCAGCGAAAGACAATAGCAAATATAAATTTTCTTTCCTGCATATAACATATAAAATAGAACAAATTTGGCAGCCCATAGAAAGTCTAGCATTAATATCTATACATAAGGAGCATTTGAACACATACTGAGAATCTTGAATGTTAGCAAGAAAATCTATATCAATTCCACACTTCGACACAATCTCACGCAAAAGAACTGTCAATTAGGTACATCCAAAGGCAGTCACTCATGACCGCTTCCAGTAAGGCATCAAGGTGAACACATGATACAAGAAATGTAAACCTTCAAATTATAAGATATAAATATATAGTTCCACTACCGCAATATCACATGAATATTTCTTTTGATCCTGCAATATATTCACTTTCTATTACTAGCAATTCCATTTTCTCCATGACAATAAAAATTACATAAAGAAGTATAAGGCCTCTCATCCTTCCCTCTGCTCACCTCACAGCAGAAAATTTTATTTTTATGTTAATCAATTATATAACTATCGTTTTACTGTGCGTTTATGCTACTACAATGGAAACTATATAATTAGTTTAGCCTTTATCAGAAAGACAAAGAATTGACAATGTAGTAGTACAATTATCACAAACAATATATGCACACTTTTTTTTTTTAATACAAACTTAAATGATCCAAGAAATGGAAAATTGAACAGTTATCCCAGGTCAGCAAACAACAAATGTCAAACATAATACATTCATTATTTGGATGGAATTTTGTTTCCTGTATTGTAACTACAACACAAACCAGATCTTAGCATTTCCCCTCCCCCTATTTCCCACAAAAGTAAACTTGCACCAGATCTCGATTATTTCTTGACAATCTATAATTAGATTCTCCCATTTGTAAGAATACTAGCGGAATACCACTGTTTAAACAATATTTTTGAATCTGACAAGATGGTCCCAAATAAGAAACAAAGTAGACACACATCTGCATGCAATCACACACACATACACATTCTGTCTCTCTCCTCTCACACATATTCAGTCCACAGACTAGGGAAACCAATAGTACATATACACATTGTATGTTTTAGGTTGAAAAAGAACAAAAGGACTATAAAAAATGTAATTAAGAAAATAAATATATAAAAAGTGTAGAATACACATATACACGTCCCAATAAAATATGGAATGCAGACACTATTTCTCATAATTGTTTGCATGACATGACAGAATGAACAAAAGACAATGAAATGAACTCTTAATTCAATTAATATGTCAACTGTAACATAATACAAAGAAATCAAAAACACAACTGTGACATGAATAATATACAACTGATAAAAGTTCAAAATTGTTGAGAATATCTCAAGATTATAAATGCAGAAATCAGCAGATCAGGAAAGCATGCTCACTGGTAAAATATTTGTGATTTTTCAAAACGGACAAATGTTCTCCCAAAGCCAAAATTAATTTAAATATCAGTCTAAAAACGTAAGTCATGAACGAACATTAAAATGAGTCTCAAGATGCATTTCTTAAACAGAAAGAATATTATTAGTTTAAACTACACAAAAAATTGAATCAAATTACATGCAGCATTAAAACATTAATTTGAAGCAAAGGGAAGGATGAGTAAGGGGATAAACACAAGAAGAGCAGCAGGAGCAATTGCTGCGCCTGTGGCTCTCTTGTGGATATGTGTCATGATTTCTTGGTTCTGCAGTTAAAAAAAAAAAAAGAAAGAAAAAAAAAGGGTTAAATGCTCAATAATTTCCTACCATTAACAAATGATATTCCAACTTAATTCAAGGAATTAGATACATTAATCTACAAGCGCTGTAAATATACAGTAATAATCTGACCCTTTCTGTACGTGTATACATGTATATATACTATATATATATATATTATATATAAAAATTGAATATATTTATTTGACTCGTCATGTTAATGTCATTGAAGGGTGGCATACTGTACACAAGCAACCCCACAATGCACTTTATGTTAGATACCAAATCTGCATTACACAAAACATTTTCACAATGATAGGACACGAATTAAAAAGCATGCAGAAACATTTGCAGACAACACTATACTACTGCAATTTTTTCATTTTCAAGACAGAAGATAATAATTAACAGTATCATTACTCTGATGAGAATGGATGCTGTGTGCAATATATCTCTTCCTTTTCATTATTAGAAAAAAAAAAAGTTCTTCAACGATATAAACAACAAATGTGCAGCATGTTTTTCTGTACTCAAATACATACTTGCTACGCAAAGATGTATCACCAAAGATAAGCTAGAGAGAGACAGACATCTCAATAATAATTTTGTGTTGGTCATCACCAATGTTGTTCTCATACACTCACGTTCTTTAAATAGTCAAAAAAATTCAGCTTTGTAGTTACATAATTTGAAAGTAAAAGAATAATAAAGGGCCGTGTACACAAATGAAAAATGAATTGGTTACAGGCGACAAAAGAAAGAAAAACTAAAAGAAAAAGAAGCAGAAAGTTAGGTGTTGATTAATCTTAACAACTGTCATTACAAGACCCCCCATATTTTATGAATCCACTAAAACCATTAAATATTTCCTTCTAGCTATCATGAAAATCATTTCAATATACATCTTTAGTAAGATATTGCCTGAAAAACTATCAACAACAGATCTACATCACTTTCTGGAAAATGAAACATTTTTGTATATATTGATGCCAGTATCTTGAGTCACCTCAAATGAAAATAACAAAATAATAAATTAAATGGAAGTATATCGCCTACTTTTTGACAAGATTTACAGCATAGTTGTTTCTTGGAAGCGCTTCATCATCAAGCATTCGTTGACACTTTTGGGGAAGGACAATGAGATATTTTTTTATTTTATCACAAATTATAGTCAAAGAAGGTGGAACTTTCAGATAAATATGTTCTACTCATCGAATTTTAAAAATAAATCTGATTAGCTCTTAAAATTGCAAACTTTTAGGGAGAATTTTATTGTCTGTCTTATTCCACAAGGTACATGTATAAACTTTTCAAATATAGCAAAATTTTCATTGGCTTTGTTAGATAAGAAGAAATACTGGTTACCCTGTGGACCCAGAGATACCATTATACCAATTTTGTATAAACAGAGCCTTTTCCTCTCACTTCCAGTCTTTGGTGAATCATAAAACAAGGCAAATTATAAAATACTTTTAAAAAAGTCATCTTGTGTATATAATGTCCAAGTCTACATATTAGTCGTAAGACAACTTAAGGGGAATTTGTCAGACACTTTGAAGATTACTATCTCTTTTCTACAAATACCAGTGACATTGATAGTAACAGTGTCAGTAATTCCATGTTACATGGAGGAAGTTGTCAAATATCATTATAATCCACATGTGCAATGCAAATCTTTTACAAAATTCACCTGCCAATGTAATATGCAAGTTGTCCTTTAGTTTTCATAATTAACACATTAAGAAGTTATGATTTCTTGAGCACATTTGTTCAGTTTATGAACAGCATTCATAAAGGACAAATTGCAACATGTAAGCACAGCATCCATACTCAAAATGTATTCAGAACAAACCGCAATCCTTCAGATTGTTCTTGATGATAACATCTGTGACTGCATCAAACACAAATTGAATGTTGCTAGTATCTGTTGCACATGTAAAATGTGTATAAATTTCTTTCTGATCTTTCCTTTTGTTCAAGTTTTCAAACTGCATCTGGATGTAGGCAGCAGCTTCCAAGTATGTATTGGAACCTGAAACACAAACATTGATAATTAAAAACAAATAAATTTCAATATAAGAAAACAAACAAAATGAGATTTATAAACACTACAGACATCCTTCTGAATCAGAAAATAGTTTTAGCACTAAAAAATAAAAACTCAATTTTTAAAGAGTCAACTGTGTAAAGAATTTCAAAAGAGCCTTATTGCATTATCACTTGCCACAATTTTGTAAATTTGTGGTATAGAGCACAAGCCATTTATTGTGATACCGCCACACTGCAGATAGTATAATAATATTGAATAGTTGGCCACAATAGATGAAAAGGTATAATTCCAGATTATCAAATGAGAAAGTAAGCTACAGCAAAAACTGTAGTTTGCTTTGAGGGACACATTGTTACACAAGAAACACTTATACCTTCACAAGAAAAGAACAAGTGATGCTACAGCATGGCACAGATTTTGTCTTATTAGTTTTCTATATTCTTTGGTCTCAGCTAGCTTTCCAGACTTTCCCCATTCTCTTGCTAGGCGTCATCTATCGCTGCTCAAAGTATATTTTTTACAAAATTTTCCATTTTTTCCGTTTCCTAATAGGAGAACGTAAATATTATTTTAAGAATATTAAAGAACAGAAATACGTCATGCTAAATTGCAATTTTTTTAATAATTTGCAGCAGTTTTTAAGAAAAAGGTGTTGATGCGCTACTGTAAATAAGACATTTGAACGTCTTTCAGACAGAAAATTTTGAGTTTCGAAAAACATCATTTGAAGTTATTTATAATAATAATAATAATAATAATAATAATAATAATAATAATAATAATAATAATAATAATAATAATAATATGCCTTTATGAATATGGCGAGGCTCGGGCCATCAGGCCCGCTCTTCCGCCTGACCACGAAGTTATTTGACAAACTTTAAATCACAAATATAATAGTGTTTACAAATTGGTGGAAATGTGCATTTTAACGACATGAGAGATCTTTCAAAAAAATTATATTTTTGTAATTTTTTAAAAAAACAATACAAGAACCAAAACAAATGAACTTTAAAGAGTACAATTAGCAATATCCATTCAAAAAATTTGGAGCCATTAAAAAAAAAGAAAAAAAGGCATTTGAGTGATTCTGAAAATGCAGAATTTTGAGCTAGTTTTCACAGAAATCTTGAGTTTTCAACACACTTTGTCCGACATTAGAGCACATGTGCTCATAAATACAAGAATGTGAATAAATTGTCGCTAATATAAGACGCTGCATAGGCACAAGGATCCTTCCCAATTTTTTCCCCATGGACACTTCTGTCACCATGTACACGAGCAGCAACTCTCTGTTGGGTCTTTCATTAACCTAGAGATCACATAACTATGTAATTGAGACAAGTTTCAAAAAGATAACTGAGAGAATAAAATAGTTCTGATCACAAAAATTATTTTCTCAATATTGTAGAATTAGTCGATGAGAAACTTCATAAAAATGATAACTATCCCGATTACAATAAGTGACTGTCCATTGCACTTTACAATCAGCCTATATATTTATAGCAATTTGATCACAAGATTTTTAATAAATACCTATATATATATTTAGAGGGCTATCAATTACAGAAAAGTTTATCAAAACATGATAATTCATCTTAAATATAGGAAAGCTGTTATATTTTAAGAAATAACATCTAGCCATGAATTTAGCTGTGAATTTGATAGTACTCGAATAGAATTACTCAGAAACTTTTCATATGAATAAATTTGACTTCTGATTCATCCTGCATTTCTATTTCTACTCTAATTACAATTCAATATTCTATCCTTAATATTTACTCATACCAGCACAATGTGTGCCAATTGCATTCTTTTGCTTCCTGATGACAACACTTGCACAATATTTTAAAGAAAATTTATAATCATGTATTGTTAATAGGTTTTGCAAAATCACTAAAGAACTTTGCCCAAATAAACAATGTATCTTATTTTGCAAGAAATTATATATAAAGTACATGTGACTAATTATCTTTTGTTTTCTGTAAAATGTTTACATACTTCGTATTATTATTTACATATAATTATTAGTAGAAGTATGAACTATATTGGCTTATTAGAGATATAGAATTCATTTGACATTGTACATTTCATGGAGACTATATAATCTAACATTAAATATTGTTTTATATAATATCATTTTTCTTAATAAACATGGCTAATGTCACAATTATTGTTTTTATAATTGAATAAACAATTGTTCCTTTGTTGGCATGCTTAAGTAGGTCACGCAAGCAATCACAGATCAGAAAGGAATGAGACTAGAGAAAGAGCACTTTACATGCATTCAGTGACTTTCTCAAAATTACAGATTTTGTTAATTTTATGGCAGGAATCTACATGTATTTTCGATCACAACAAATATTTAATATTTTTTTTTAGTTTGTACTTTTGTAGTTTTTGAGTACCAAAAAACCAGCAGCCCATTTATGATGTGCGCTCATACAAAAATTTCTCAAAAGTGACTAGGATATCTTTCTTTACATTTTGCCTCTACAATAAATTTATGGCCATCTACATTACTCCAAAGGGATGATATGTTTCCACATTTTTTAGTAATTAAAGAATATAGGTATGTATTTGTTACTCATGTCCTCAATGTTATCACCAAATTTTGCCAATAGCTTCAGTATGCTACCAGTGGCATAAAACACTTTTGCATATGTAATAAGACAGACTAGAAATAATAGGAGAATTATACAGGAAAAACAATGTAGGTTTCACAAGGTGAGAAGTACAAAAGATTCTATTTTCACATTCCGACAGATAATCGAAAAAAGACCATAACTTAGCAACATATTTATAGTTCATTAGCTACAAAAAAGCCTACAATGGGAATTTTTGGAAATTATGGGAAAATTTGAAAATTTTCAACATTTACCTAAATCATATGATTAAAATTTGAAAACGAGTAACTATGTAACAAGAATCCAGAAATAATTGACAATATTATTCTTATGAACTTGCCAAGATTGCACAATTCCATAAGACCAGGCCATAATAACAGACTCTTAAGAGACACTACAGAAAGCAGACCTCATATTAAGCAAAATAAGCAAAGAATATAAAAGAAAAACATCCAGTTGGAAAACAAAAACGTTAGCCTTCTATAGCAAAGAACTCAAGAGTCAAAATAGTTATAGAAAATTCAATAATTGAACAAATTACCTCCTTTAATTACCTCAAAAATTCAACTGGTTTAGATCAGAAACATATGTAAGAAAAACTACAGAAATAGTATCATAGAAAATACAAGACAATAAAAGAGACATTTTGGACAAAGGAGAAAACAACCTAATGTGAGAATTCATCATATTACATCAAAATCAATGTTTAAAGTGTAGTGTTGAAATTTGAAAAACAAGAGCAAAGAAAACTGAAAGCATGGAAATTGCTCAGATGAAGTTTTTATAATTAGAAGAGAAGAGAAAGATTAAAAAAAAATAAAAATAAAAATAACTAAAAGCACAATATGTAGAAGAAATAAAAAAAATACCAAAGGAAACAGAGAAGACTTAAAAAGAGAATGGTCACTCTACAACTGCCATAGATGGGATTAAATTCTAGACCAGAAGACAAGAGGGGTACAGGAAGACCAACAAGAAGACAACACCAGCAGGAACTCAACACATGAAGGAATACTTGTTTATTATCCACTTCAGTAGAACGTTGCGAACATAATCCGTTCTAGAAACGTGCTCATAATCCAAATTACTTGTGTATTAGAGTGAATTTTCCCATAAGAAATAACTAACATGCAGATGATACGTTTAGAATGCAAGTTGCCCTACACTGTCTGGGCAGAGAGGTAGTGGACTTCAAGGAACAACAGCAATTCTCGCATATCCCTAACCTTCCACATCCGTGGGAACTTGAGAAGTGTAGTGTCAGACAAGACAAGACCCTCCCCTCCCTTACCTAGCAACAGTGTGAAAAAGAAACAATTTCTCAATCGGAAAGGATGGTAGAAAGTTCTCCCCACATGCCTAGAGCGAAGTTTATCAAAAGTAGTATATTGAGAGAAAATAGCTATAGGCACAATTCCATTTCAGGGGAGAAAAGGAGGAAGGAAGGCAAACCAGTTCTACTCGTATGGCAAAGCATTGCTCATATATATAGTGAAAATATCTTCAAAATGTTAGCTTGTCTTGCAAATCACTCGCAAACTGAGTTACAAAAGAACATCTCTAATCTTAAATTTTGGATAATCCGAACAAAATTTGGGATAGAGGAAAAACAAATAAAATGCTTATTTGTAGTGTAAAGAAAGGATTTTATAATTACTGTAGAACTAATTATCGAAACAAAAGTAGTCAAAATGAAACATGCACAGGTTAATATAGTGTATGTCACGTTTATGAACTTTTCATTAGGAGGAACTTGCAAAATCGGTAATGTTTTGCTGTAAAAACCAAATCTGCTTGATGATGCGATACCTAGGCTACAATGCCATTTTCTTACATTGCACGCTATGTTGCATTGTCTGGTAAACCTATAGATGTAGTTATATATGTACGATACATTTCTTTGGTTAACCCGAACATTTCTGAATCCGAACAGACCACACCCCCCAATTAGTTCAGATTTCTGGAGTTCTACTGCAAGACAGGAAAATTATTCCTAAACCAAGGTTGTTAATGATGACTATACAGAATTAATATTATTATTCTTATTCAAAAACAGCAATTGAAGGTGGCGGCGATGGCGTAATGGTTAGCTTATCGGACTGTTGTACCCAAGTTGCTGGGTTCAAACCCGATCGAAGCCGTGGATTTTTAAGGGTGAGAAAATCCTTCGTACGCCTTCCTTCGGAGGGGAAGTAAAGCCGGCTGTCCCATGTTAGTAGATTTACTTGCATGTAAAAGATCCTCAAGCCTAAATGACGCCGAGCTAAATTCAAATCACCTGTTTCTCGCCCAAGAAATACCTCCTTTCTCTGCTAGTTGATGAAAGGAGTGTAGCGAAATTTGTGTGGTCAGACGGAAGAGCGGGCCTGATGGCCCGAGTCTTGCCACGTAAAATAAGGCAAATTCAATTCAAGTCTTCCAACAGTTTCTTTCCAGTATTTGAATCAGACATCATTCTAAATTCAGATGCCACAAACTGCACAAAAACTTCTAATCTTCACGACTGCCACACAGTCTTATAGAGATATAACTGGGAGGTGCGAAAAAGACTATTGGAAGGAGCAAGGTTACACTTCGTGCTGAATCAGGTACCAAGTGGCCTCACTCTTTTGTCAATATTGTCAGAGAGGGAAGATAGGACTGTCTTGCTACAGTGTAGTATGCTCGTGTCAACTAAATGTATATTATCACAACACCAAGGCAGAATAAATTACAATATCACTTATTATATCAGGAATAAAGGAGAGTATGTGTCCTCTATTTTAGTATTTTTCTGCAATTGCTATGATCCTATCTTTACAATGGTACAGTGACCCTGTTTAGTGAAATTGTAAATGCTTCCTAATCCACTTGTGAATGCTTCCATTTTGTGGAGGAACATTACAATTAAAGTTCTTTCAATTGTACGTGGTGCAGTGGATACACTTGAGATTAATATAAGTAACAGAAATGAAAAATTATAACATTGTAATTCCAAATTTCGAGAAAAAAATATTTTGGCATATCTGCATAAAAACTGTTTTTCTGAATTAAAAGATTCTGTCATTCTTTCCATTTTCAAACTTGAAAAAAACTGTCTTTTGGGCTCTGAATCGCAGGATTTTCTACATGGAAGAGAGACACATTCACCCAATTCAAACCCCCTGATTCCCAGATATCTGGTAATGGTTGCATTTAAGCACTAAAACATCAGTGGAAGACGTTACAGACATGTTAACAAAAGCTTATTTTCTTTTCAGCAAAAGGTTTTTTTACAACAGCCAAACTGATTTACAGTTGAATAAATAGATTAAAAAGACTTACTCTATGATAATGAAGCTAAGGGTCAGATAAAAGCTTGTAATAATAAACAATATTAATGATTAACATTATAATATATTTACAATTAATATTTTAATGCCTCTTCAAATAACTTACCTGAATATTCCGGGAAGCAAATTGTTAGAGGACTCTTTTCTATTTTCTCTTCAAACAAATCTTTCTTATTTAAAAATAGAATAATTGATGTTTCAACAAACCACTTGCTATTACAGATAGAATCAAACAATTTCATAGATTCAATCATTCTATTCATTTCTTCATCTTCAGCCAAAACAAGATCATACCCTACACAACAAATTGACAATTAAAAAAACAAACAAAACAAAAATTATGTAAAAGACCAAAATTATCACAGAGAATTAGAATTTTGAAATAGTCAGGATCTCACCAGAAAGGGCAACACAGAAAATAATGGCAGTAACACCTTCAAAACAATGTATCCATTTCTTCCTTTCAGATCTTTGTCCACCAACATCGAACATCCTACAAAACAATTTTCCCGATTAAGAAATACAACAACAAATGAGTTATTATTAATGCAAATATCTTATCTGTGTTGTCACTTTACACACACAATAACTATTCCAAATTCAATTCATTGATTGGATTCAGTACCAGCTAGTAGACTTCGCAAGTTATGCATGTCAAATGGTTTGACTGCGATTACAAACATAAAAACTAACAAATATATAATACAAATAAGAAGCAATAAAATTAATTTTAAGCACACATCTTCAGTTTCTAGAAACAGGGGCCCATTATAGAATTATGAATGTCATATTGAAGATATTTCAATGCAATATGCCCAGAAATAACCGAAACATAGGGAATAGCATGTTAAATAAATACTGAATTAAAACAAAATAAAGAAAACAACTCCCCTGATCAGACATTTAATTCCGTTCTCAGATCTGAACATCCTACATATTTGTTTCACTGCACTGTACTAACTGAAACGAATGTTAATTTTTAGTTCACTGGCATGGCAAAAATATTGAAGGTTGAGAATAAATACAAAATATAGTAAAATTACAATAAAAGACCAGCAAATGGAGGACAAATGATTAATACAATAAATGATACCCCAAAAGAAATTTCCTGTCATATATGAATGCATGAATAACAGGGCAAGAACTGAACACAAGAAATGTATTAGCAAGTAACAATGAACAATCAATGCGATGGTCAAACGTAATTAAAACACACAAATTATCAAACCAATAAATAATGAAGCACATTCGTAGGTTTTAAAACTCTTAGATTTTCTTCTCTATAGTCGTTTCGAACACAGACAAGAATTAATTTTTATTTCTTCCACCTCAAAAAATTAAGTTTTAATTTGTGATTACTCATATGTAGAACACTAATCTCATATGCAAATGGTATTCAGATTTCCAGTGATTGGTAATGGTTAATGGAAAGATGATCCCTCATTTGAAGGCAGTAAATTTGTCTTTATTTTTCTCAAAACCCCCTCTGGCAGGATTGTGTTATTCACTAGTGTCAACAAATGAACAAATTTAAGCAATACAAATGCATTGATCCAAACTCAATCTCCACATCTAGATTATTTAACAGTGATGAAGCAGGATGGGAATGCACGAGTCACAGAGCTCTGCTTTTAATGTTCTGATGCCTCTTTTTGCCTCATTCACTGATTCATTTAGATCAACACACATTCAAATATATTAAGATGAATGAATTACTTTTATCTGAACAACCAAATTATCTAAGTAATGTTGTAACAAATAAAATAACAATTCAACAATATATGATGCACAGCTGAAATAAAGTCTACAATATTGACCAACTCTTAAAGACCCATATGACATGATTAGGATTCAAATAGATCCTTGACAAAAGAGTACAATACTACCATAAAAACTTAATACTGAATTTTTTAAAAATAAATTTGAAAAAATATACATATCATTTATTATCCAAAATCATCAAAATATGCATGACAATTCACAACTTACTTGAAATGGAGTGCTTTAAAGGTAAAGTGGGTTTCCACGATACCGGTAGTCTTCACTCGGGTACGCAACACATCTTGCTGGGTGGGCACATAATTGGGCATAGAGATTCTGTCCAAGGCATTTAAATAGTACGCAGCAGAGTCGTTTAGCTGATACTCTCGAGAACGTGCAAAACACTGCTGCACACCAGCATCCTTCCAAAGCCATTTCATTAGCATCACAAGATCAGGAGTAAGCTCGCCTTCTTCTGCACCACTGGCTAATGTAAAGAACTGGCGAGCATGATCCTGTAATGGTAAATTGAATATTGTGTAGTGTACAAGTCACAAATCTAGCTAGATTTATGTCTCTGTTCAATAACGAATTTTTTGAACCAATTGTTTACAGAAAGTTTATTGTTCTTCAATTTTCTTACTACTATTTTTCAAATCCTCTAACTTTGGATTCTACTTCAGATACTACGTATTTATTCTGTACAATCATTTAGGAATTAATGTAAATAAAATGGACAATACGCTGAATATTCAAATGGACACTAACACATTACAACATACTTATAGAATACTGCCTAGATAGACCGACGTGAGATTCTATGTACAGTTGACAAATAAAAATACTTTAGTAATACCAACTAACCTAGGTAAACATCAGTATGTTGATGAATATTGATAAAACAGTAACACTGTAATCCCAAATTACTTAAAATGAATCACAGTTTCATAAAGACAACAGTTGTATCCACCTAACAAATCCATACATTACTTCTGACTGTGATGGAAAACAAGAACTGATGGTAAATTGAATAATAACTTTATTTGTTATGGTTCATGTATGTAATGGTCTAAGGGTACTTATTGTGTTTTGCTTGTATAGAATAAATACATAGTACCTGAAGAAAAATCTAAACCTATAGGATTCGAAACGTTGTAGTAAGAAAACTGAAGAAGAATGTAACTCTAAGAATGAAATTGGCCACAAAAAAATTCAATATAATTTGTAAGCTTCAATGTCTAATCAAGGCAATAATTCAGAAATTTGGCTTAATAAAATTCAAAAAACTATAACCTCTAAACAAAAGTCAATAAATTAAGAAAAGCAGGACAGAATGTTACAATTTGGTTTCTAGTATCCAAATTTGCACATTTAGAAAATGCCATTCCAGAAAATAAAAGAAAATGAGTACAGCAACGTAAACTGGGTAATTTCCGAGTCATGAACCAGAAAAGAGACTAACAGTTCGCAAATATACACTGCTGTTCGGTATTTTATGAAAAGCAACCCAAATAACGTAATTACCCCATAAGATGGTTGATTACCATGAATATATTTTTATTTACCCCAGAAATGTAGATACAATTGATAAGGAAACTTTATGTGTTACTCTACTTTACAACTTAATCTCAAAATCAATTGAGCACTAACAATGGAATATTTATCATAGGTAATACCACAAGTCTTTTGTAAATCATTGACAAATCCCCGAACCCGTGAAGTGAGGGGATTTATCCCAGCATTCCCAAAGTCAGAGTGGTATTTAATAGAACTATTCCACAAATGACATTATGCCAACAGATGTCCAAAATGCACCAAATCTTAAAAATAACTGAAAGCATGATAAAATCAAAGAGAATACGTTGCAGTACCTACATAAATTATTACACATCAACACAGTGAATGATACAAACACCTCCTAAGATAGAACGAGTCACAGCTTATTATTGGCAATTAGGGAGAGGAAGAAAGAAAAATTGGATAAAAAGTGATAAACTTTTTGAGATTCACTGCCCTGCTTGAAGTATTTTATACATACAGTTAAACACTATTGGTTTTAATTTCACAAGAGGAATAGTCTATATTTAATTCCATACTACTGAAGTTAATTATATAGTGAACGGAGGACAACTATAACAATTTTTAAAACAAGCGAATGCAGAAGTATCTAGGTTTTAGACACTGACGAACAAAATAAATTTTACAAAACATTAATAAAAATTATAATTTAAAATTGAAATTTCAATTTTTAAAGTTTCCTATTTTTTGAAACCATTCTCTTCACATTTCATTCAAAATCTACTTCATGTTCATGGAAGCCGTACATGGTTTCATAATGTTCATAGAAGAATTGGACATTCCTCGAACTTGAAATAATGACAGAAAGCAGAACTCTATACATCTGCTAACATCTGTTCTGGTCACCGAGGGCAGAAACATTAAAAACTAATATTTTACATTCCAATAAAGCATTGTTGTTTTTCTCAATACTAAACATGCAAATTTATAGAAATTATTCTTTCTATTATGTTTGAAGATTATAATGCTCTGAAGGTGAAGCAACATTACATAACAAAATGTTACTTTCCTAAGATAAGGTCATGTAAAAACCTCATTTCTTTCGTTAAAATCATTACAACGGACAACACCCAAATACTTAGAAAAATGAACATTGTGCCATTAAGGCATTGCCAGAATCATTACACTTACAGCTCTGCCAGGATCTGCAAAATCAATTCTTAACTGTCCCATCGCACGAATAATTGCCATGAGGCTCTGAATTGTGTTACTAAATACCACTGGCCGATACTGTTCACACTCTTCTTTGGAGTAACCAGTCTCATGAATTATCTTCATTTGTTTAACAATTGTGCTTTTCCCAGACTCTCCTGCCCCTGAAATACATATTAAATTTTTTGAATTACTACAAAACAAAATAAGTAAAATACATATAAACATTTTCCATGCACTTGAACGTAAGCACATTTCAATCACTGAAATGACCCAAAGAAAATAATAATCAAATTTTAATAAATACCAATGAAAATGATTTAAAATGCAATAATTAGTTACTTTTCAATTCGAAAATACACTTAATACAGGTTTGAACACACACAACATAACGTTTGTAGTTGTTTTTTTTTCAAATGCGAACATGCAAAGTAAATACACAAGCCACAGACAGTTTCACTGATAATTCCTAAAAACGTCAGTCCGCTAAATCTCTTCAAATTTTCCTTTATATCAATGCTATATGCTATAAATACACTTGCAATTTCCTTACTTAATTTTAAATGGTGTACATGAGATCATACAAACGCTGGACTCAACGTCAATACATATATATTTTTTATTAGACCGAACACTTTAATCACTTACCCAATAATAATAATTTAACTTCCTTCGACGCTCGTTCTCCATCTGCTCTTAAATCTTTATCAATCTTTTTCGACCTCTCCGCAGCTTCTTTTTCTACCGCTGTACTTACAGCACACCCCATTTCCTACCGTTGTTTGTCACTTGTTGCTTCCAAGACTCCGCCCGGTTACCAACCAATGAAGGTTAATGAGTTGTAACACCGGAAATTAAATATTTATCGTTCACTACCTCCGAAGTTTTAAATCATTACTCTTTCTTAACTCCTCAACTTCGAAGAAACCATATATCACGCACTAGTAACCTAAAACAACACAAGTCTTCAACCCTCGAACATCCCTACCAAACACAACGACGCTAACCGTCACTGAATTGACCAACGCAGCTTGCAGTGCATCATAGCCATCGCAATCTGTTATGAACGTCAGGCGCATATACTGTCTCGTCTGGCGGACGCACTGCCCAGCCACGAGCAATGGAACATAAAACGTAATAATAAATTGACAAAGGTGATATGTAAAATAATTCTGTATTCACTATTAGCAGGCTTAACAAAGTTGTCCAAATTAATGGTTTCATTTCCAGAAAATAAAATCATACTAACAAACATGACTGATGGATCATGTGTGGATGACTTATGAATGACTGTAAATGATAATCATTTTACAAATATTCAGCCTATATTTGTCCACTTACACTGGATTTCAGTAAAACAGAAATAAGAAGGAATCTCACGACTTTGTAATTCGAGCAAAATTCATTTTTAATGTAGTTTGACTTTATCGCCATTTTGTAATTATATGTGAGGGAATATGAAATAACATGTAATTATTGACATTATTGAAATTTATAAACATGAAGAAATAAATTTGAGAGCATTTTAAATACAACGTGCTCTTTATTTCGGTCTTTCTATTAACCTGATCTGGGCCCCAAAACGTCTCACTCGTAACTCAATTCGGGCAATCATTTTATACTTGGTTTATTATTTTTTGGCGCGTGAGGGCCTGTCTTCACGCGCCAAAAAATAAACACCCGAGTATGATTCCTGAATATTCTACTAGATAGAAGCACAAGTGCGAGACGGTGCAGTTTCGCGGAGCAGTTTCAGAGTGCTGCAAATAATTATGTCCCCGATTAGTCCAAAGAGCTATTAGTCCTAAGAGAAATCTCTCTTCTGTTGTTTCGTTCCCCAACTCCTACAATCCACCCCATTCGCTTATCCTATATAAGTCTTCCCTTCGCGTACATCCTATCTAAGAGTCTAAGACTGATTGCAGAGGCGGGATTTCGGATCTTTTATTGGGTTGGTTGAGTGGGGCGAGCGGGCAATTTGGGTGGTAAGTAATTTTTATTAACATTTATTATTTTATAAACATTAATTATAGTTTTATACAAAATCTTTTGTTTAAAGAATATTAATGTTAATAAATATGCACGAAAAGCAGAATGGAGTATGCTTGTATTAAACAATTTACTTTTTAATAATCCGTATTCCTCACAATTTGTAATTTGATGCATAACACATAAATATGATATATTGTAGCTGCTTAGATTTTGTTTTATATTTTGAAATTTGAGTTCCATGTATCATATGTGTATAATAAATTGGAAATGCTCTTTCTTTTTGAGAGTTAATTCGAGTGTAATGACTCATCATTTTAGACATGAAACTGTTTATTTTCTATATAAATAACGTTTCAAAGCATAATATTATTGAAAGATGATTTATTGATTACAGGATATTTGCAGTAACGTTGAACATTATCAAGCAGTTTTATAATATTGAAGTAAATTTCACCAATTTATTAAAGTATGTTATTAGCTCAAATTCTTAAAATCGTTTGCTTAATTATTACTAACTTTTATTCTCAAAATACAGAAGAAAGTAAATATTTTATAATATAATTTTTAAGATCGGCGAAATGAAATATCACGGAGTATTTATATCAAATTCCATTGAGTATTTACCATATTTGATACATATTTTTAGATTTTAACATGCTTTAATGTCGTATTTTTTATGAGCACATGTGATTTAAATAAACAATGTCATATAAAGTTTCTCGAAAAATCAACAGTTTTTCGTCACAACTCGATCAAAATTGTGCATTTTCAGAAGCGTTAAAACGCCATTTTCTCAAAAACACATTTTTTTTCTTCAAACATTTCGAACAGATTGTGCTACTTGTCCTCTTTAATACGATGTAAAGTTCATTTTGGGGTATGGTTTGTTTTTTTTTCAAAATTTACACAAATTTAATGTTTTTGAAAGAGTACGATCACGCCGTTGCATATTTCTGGCAACGTGTAAGTACTACTGTATTTGTGAGTAAAAGTGCTTTCAATGACTCCTAATGAAGTATTCGAAAACTCACAAATTTTCAGTGAAAAAGAGCTTCACATTTCGAATTCACAATAGCGATTAAACGTCATTTTCTTAAAAACAGCTCCAAATTTTTCAGAGAAAATTGTCCTTTATGAATACCGTATTCAGTTTTAATATTCTTAAAGTATAATCTACTATTCGGAAATCGAACATGTCAAAAAAATGGAATTTTGGGCGTCGATAGATTGCAGCAGGCAAGAATATGGGGCAAGTTCGAATAGCTAGCCGAGACCAAAGAAAATAGTAAACTAATACGGGAGAGTCTGTGTCATTCTGTAGCACAAGTTTAATAATCGATCCACACAGCATCGGCGAAACCAGAGGTTACCGCAGCTTAGGCGAGCTGAATAAATTACAACCGAAACAGCGCTATCTGTTAGTTGCTGCCTGCAGAGCGACGGCGGCGAACTTTTAGCTCACGAAAAACGCGGAAGGGTTCGTCGTGACGTCACGCTACCTATATTATTTTATATTGAATAGCGGAGCAGCTGACCGATCGTTCTTTCTGAACGAGACACCGAGGTGAGAGGTCCAGTGCGACCAGCCAGAGCGGTAGTAATTAGAGAGAGCAGCCTTTTGTTGAGAAACGTCGAAGAGTTCGGACGAGCTAGATCAGAGAGGATTGTGAGACGCCATTTTGTAGAAAATACGGCACGAAGTGTTAGTTGCTGTTTACGCGAAAGAATAGTAGAATAGCGGAAGATTCAGTCTTCTGAACTGTGCTTAACTAGACGAAGTGTAACTTCATAAAGACGGTAGAAAGTAGTGGAGTAGCTAGTACGAGGCAGAATAGTGGCCGCGAAAGCAAGAACTATGAGCTGTTGCGAGGCGTCAGTAGAACTGTGCAGTTAGCTAAACAAGTAAGAAGTAAAGAACGCCAGAAACCGATACGTCGTTAGCAAACGCGTAAGGACTTTGAAACACGCGTCGGTGGGCCGCTTACGAAGAGCGGCGAAGAAAGAAGAAAAGGTGAGGATTCTGGTGCCGGGAGTGGCCAAGAGGCAAGACGAAAAGAGATTGGACATGGATCTGGGGGCAGGAGAGAGAAGACGGCGTTTCGAGCGACATCGCGGATGGCTGGTCTGCGAGGAAGCGAGGCAACGGCGCAGCCAAAATTGGGGCAAGGCCACACGGCGGCGACGCCGAACGGATTGCAAGCTGCGTATTGTACCTCCGACAAAGGTAACAAAAATTTTGTAAAGGGATTGAGAGCCGATGGAGACTTGAACGATACTGCCGCAGTTCATTCTAGTGTTAAACGCAATGAGAAAAGCTGTGTTAATATTTGTACCTTATTTGTGTAACTTTGACGAGGATACTAACTGTAAATATTTGTATTTAATAAGTCATCAAATAATATGTTCTGTGTAAAATCTAAACTTCTATGTAGAAATAGGGATATAATTTATTGCACAAATCAGCCAAGGAAGTTAATATTTTGTTGTTTAAACGTTGCTGACCAAGCAATAATTACCGTGCACGGATATTTGTCGGAAAAAGAGTAGTGAATTAGGTAGAAATACTCGAATCAGAGTGAGCAAACGATTTCAATTTTCAAAGGGTGTGTACAGTTATTTGATTTCGAGTTGTATATTTGTGTGCAATATTCTGTTTTCAGTGCTGACATGCGTCATATTCTGGAGAATATACGCACTAATTTACCTGATTCTGGGTCTAGATGTAAATCTTTCTCATACCCCAAAAGATCCTGCCCCCTTGTGTGTGTGTGTGTGTTGGACTTAATCATTGAGGTTTTACGAAGACAAGCGACAAATAAGACCTACCTCGCTGCGATGGAGCGTCCCTGACTCTGTCGGCAGACCTCTGAAACTTTGATGGGGAGATGGGATGGATGCATGCATGCCAGGAATTACTACTCATACTACTGTTGATAAGCCGCATCTGATGACATGAATGTAATATATATTTATAAATTACAAACTAATTTACATTAAATCTTCCTTTTTTGTTTCCATTACACCCCTTTCAATGAATTAATTTTCTTTCTTTTATCTCTCACGGTTCATAAACTGTTCCACCCTTTTGGCGATCTCCCCATTGATCATCTTGCTGGCGAAGTGGCACTGGTGGTTGGCGAGGTCCAGAAGTGAGGCGAGGATCCGCTGGTCCTCCGCGTGACGCGCTTCGAGCTGCGCCGGGCTCCGCGTAGATTCGCGTGGGTGCGGCCGCCTCACCCATGTCCTCTGGCGGTGAAGTGGCGTGGTGAGAGCAGTGTCCCCAGGGAGACGCCACTTGTCTTCCGCGGTATTGCCTCAATTGCGGCGACGACCAGCTGTCGATCGTGTACGGGATTCGGACCCGTTGGTTTCAACCTACGCCTGCCGCGCTGCCTCGAATGCCCTTTCTAGCTCCTACGCGGCTTAGCTCACGTGAGAGTGGCTGGCAGCGAACGCGCTCAGGAAAAACGAAGCAGGACATTGGTGAACATTTCTAGCAGAAGCTCTGTAAAACTCGTTAGAAAAACAGTGAAAATTACGGCGAGAACAAGAGTAGTTGAGTAGGCCAGAATATTCGGATGAGAAGACGAATTGGTGCTTGGCGAACGCGGCTTGGTGAAAATTTTTCAGGCCGGAGAATATCAGATCGCTCACCATGTTCGTCACTCACTTCTTCCAGATTACGAGAGAACTACATCGATTCACTCGATGTAACAGGTGCAATTGTACCAATTATCGATTGGAAACGCGGGAAAATGCGATGGCATTGTACACTGACGAAGAACTCGCAGTCAGTATTTTCATAAGGCAAGTCCCAAGTATAAAATAACTACTTTATTATAACGACTAAATACAAAAACATTGACACATTAACACTGTAAATTCATGTACGAGAGAAGGGCGAACTGCAAAGTAATTGTTGGTCAAACGATTCCAACGGTTGCAAAGACGGGAAAGAACCGTTAATTCATCCAATCACTCGTTGCAAACACTACTGTAAGTCCAGAAATAACGATGCCACTCATTTCGATAATCCTTGTTATACCACGAGAAAATGGAAGACATCAGATAGTTTAAGGTTTTCCTTACGCCACGAGACAACAATCACTCTTAGTTTTTAGAAAGACAAGTCACTTAAAACAGAGTGTTTTCTTTAAACTCATATCTCGGTTTTTGATGGGCGCTCGCTGTTGTGAATGAAACAGTTCATAGTTGGCAAGCAAGTCATTGCGTAAGAGGTACCGAGAAAGTAAAACTGTCTCACTGTACCCCAATTTTATTATATTTCTATTAAAATACTAAAAACAAATGTATATGTTA